GATCAGCACCATGCTCAAGCAGCAGCTTCAGCACTGGCTCGTGTCCACCTGCAGCAGCAAACATCAGTGCTGTCTTGCCATCATTGTTTGCGGCTCCTGGATCAGCACCATGCTCAAGCAGCAGCGGCAGAATTGATTCATCTTTTCCGAACTGTGAGGTGAACAGGAGCAACTCATTCAGCCACGTGGCTCTCCGATTCTCCGACTCAAAGCTTTCACAAATCTCATCAAGCTGTTCCTCTGTAATGTGGGCTCCACGGAGGCAGCACTCGACGGCCGCTTCATACTCAGAACACTGCAGCAAGTTCTGCAGAAGACTCGTGGAAAGCAGGGAGTGCATGTGTCGGGTGAAGTCGCCAAACAATTCGAGATCATCATATGTAACTGCAAGAAAGTTGAAGAAGTATTCTTCCGTTTGACTGTAGATTACCTTCTTGATACCGCTGTTGGCAATCTCGGTCCAAATTCGGTACTTGTCTGCCTCCACGGAGCTTTGGGCCTTGCCTTATAGTCTGTCGACAGAGCGTTGCGTCCCGTGACACACGACCCAACGTATCACGTGAAGAACGACCATGGACGATGGATGTTGCAATTGACCCACCACCCAAATGGAAATCAATCTGGGAGTAACCCGCATGGTTGGTATCCACAAAATCGTTTTTAACTCGAACTAAATTGTTTCTATTCTTGGGTTTTCACCTCTCTTGGATGCATGGGATGGTTAAACTTCTAGCAAAAGCACAGAAACACACGCAAACCAATCTACACTGGGATTGAACCACCCCTGGTGCAAAACCCTTTCAGATTAAAAGCCCGTGTCAAAAATGTCAAGTGCAATAGTAAACTGAATAGACAAGATGCTTGGTGACACTTTCCACAGGGCTGTGCAGGTCGCCCTTCGCATCTCAGCTTGTTCTGCTTCTGAGCCCCGAACTAAGCCCACTGGATTGGATAATGAGCCCAAATCGCCTCAAGCCATCCCGGCTAAAGCAAAGGTCATCAGTCACATTCTACGATAGTATACCACACCCAATGCTTTCCCTGGTTAAAACATGTTAAAACAACTATCAAAGGAAACAACACCTTAGAATCTTCAAAAACAAAAACTTTGCCAACCTCATTCGCCGCTCCAAAGACCGCATTGATCTTGGCCGGTCGTGCCGGACGAGTCACAAATCAACTCGAAGGGCCTCTGCAAATCTTTGAGTCGAGAGACTTCGAAGAGGCACCAAATCCGCGTAAATGGATTGATCTCTTGGTCCAAGACCTAGGAAACACGGATCGCATCTGAATAAAATGTCCAGTCAGAAATGCAAGTCTGGGACTACCAGGACCATTATCTACATCTGGTGCAATCATACTTCCATAGGGCAAAAACCTTCAAGCAAATGGCACCATGAAAGGCTCCACAGCTTTACATTTGTCGGACCTCCCAATCCGAAGCAAAAGCCCGCATTTGGCAGACCCCTCAACTAAAAGAAATTACAAAATTAAAACAATTACCACACCACGCAATGTGACCTGTCCATCTTGCAACACCCAAAACGCATGTCACTAAACCCAGCCCACCAGCCACTCTGTTGCAGAAGTCACTAGTCTATCCCAGGCGCCATCACTGCGCCACCAGCAGCTTGCGCCAAGGCCGCGTTGAACGGTCCTTGCTTGGGATTCTCGCCCACCTCCTCTGCCACGGCGTGCTGGTTCAGTGCGAAGAGGCCTGAGGCCGGCACGCTGGTTGCAGAGGCCGATGCGGCTCGCTCTGGGCATGGTGGACGGAATCCGATGAAGTGGACGAAACTGTCCGGATTCCTTTGAAAGAACTCCTTCTAAATGATCTTTCTCAACTCGAATCCCTTTAATTACTCATGAATCTGGGTTTCGCAGAAAGTGGCCCAAATGGGACTGCAGCGAGGATTTCTGACAGAGGGGTATATTCATGAGAAGGCAATCGACATCTGCCGAAATGGACGGATCGACCTCCAAGCAAGCTGATTTAAACATTATAAACGTGTACATTTGCATACACATCGTACACTTGTTCTTTTTCAGCTACACTACACGGTTTGCTTGGACTTGGTCTGTGCCACCAAGAGACAAATCCAATATACCACTGACTGTGGCTGCTGAGCGTACTCACGGAAATGATTCGCTGCCCACAAACGAAGTGCCAGCAAGGTGCTGCCTGTTGCAGTGGGATGTGTGGAAAAACCAAGAAGCTACGAGTATCAAGTCATCAAGTCAAGTTTTGTGCTACACCCACACTGATCAGCCTGATGAGTCAGTCATGTCTCCAGCTCTTCACCTCTCTCTCTCTCTCTCCCGAGAATTCCACTAACTTACGTATATCGCAGTCCTCATTCCAGGTCAGTCTCCCTTGAAGCCAAGTCCAGCTAATCACCATTCTTCAGCTGTCCCCCTGCAAGTCACTTAACCCTAGGGCTCCAACCGTGCCTTCAGGTCCGGGTCATATTCGACCCCCCTGGCAACGCCTGGTAACCACCCACTTCTGGCCCACCGAACCGAAACGGAGGTGGGGTGGGCCAGGAACCCTAGGGTTTGACGCCAAGTTGCTGCAGAGGTGTCCCCAAAAATGCGACACGAAGACATGCACTTGGAGGCCATGTGGGTTCAGCAACTCCGAGAAGGAAGACTCCCTGAGCGGTCGACGGCCGGAGGTTGGGAGCTTGGAAGCCAACAAAATAAGCTGCGCAGGTGGAGCGGATTGAGGAGGTTGGGAAGGTTTCCAATATGCATATATATGATACCTGGACCCTCCCGAGGAAATAATATTTGCCGTAGGCTTTTTTCTGCCGTAGCTCAATCCCTGGAAAGTGAAAACGCCGTCACAAAAGAAGAATCGCCGTTTTGTTTGATCTACCAAAGAGGATATTGTTTTGGTCCGTCCATACCCTGAAATTGCCTTCTCCTTTTTCACTTGTAAGTAGAGCTCATCGTTTTCAAGCCTCATGGTGCACTTCTCAAGATGTTGCACCCTTGTCTAAGGTCTCGATTGACATCACGGCAGGATTTGTTCACATTTTGATCATGCAATGGCTGAAAGGATCGCTTGTGACATGTTGTGACAAGTCTTGCTGCCACCTTGAGTGACCCTAGACAGGGTAAGGGAACGACGCCGTAAGTAGGGGTAAAACGCCGTAAGTACGGGGAAAAACGCTGTAAGTACGGGGACAAACGCCGCAAGTACGGGTAAGAGCGCGGTTCACTTTAAATGCAAAATCTTCTGCAACGCCGCGCAAGAGGTCGAGCTACCCGCGAAAACCGACGAAAACCCAGCATGTGACACTTCCATCAGCTGCCCTTTCCACTTCACATGACTATGCGAGTTTGCTGATATAATAAGACGCCTTTTACGTTCAGTTGCCTTTCAAGCAAGACCCTACAATGTTTTCATACTCGCCTGCACTAAAGCTAAAACGAAATGACTCTTTGAGGCGCATGGATGTGTGGACCAAAATTGCCGTCAACTGACCGAAACTGCCGCAGTTCATCAAGAAACGCCATCCCCATGAGATCAATATGGAAGAACGCCGCAGAACGGAAAAAGGCGACGTTTCGGCAATTATTATTGCCGTAACGAAGTTCCAGGTATATAGTAGTGGTCCGGCATGAGCTATATGCCAACTGCTGGGTCAAAAACACACACAACATATTCATTCATTGCGTATAGTTAGAGACGCGCTCTGGGACAACGCAAAGCCCTTTTGCAGCCAAGCTTCACATGTGCCCAAGGGATAGTTTGCTTCCAGTCCTGAAATCGTGCTGCACACCATCCAGGTCTTGACATAGGAGTCACCACAAAGTTATCTAGAGCATACAGGTTCGGAGCTTGTTGGAACTTCTTCCTCTCCGATATCGCTTCTGCGTTCTCTGCATTGAAGGCATCCTTACCAGCTCACATTCGGCAAAAGCGGTGAAGGTTCTTATGGACAGAAGTTCCTATTCGAACAACGAACAAAACATGACCACTGGAGACAGTATCCTACAAATTCCCTACAATCGGCGATCCTCGAAAAGGATCCGAGAGGCAATTTTCCCAAAGAAGTTGAAGCTTTGCTCTGCACAAGTCCTGCTCCCACAAACAGTTGCCTCGTTTCTCTGGACAAGCATCACACTGCTTGCCCAACCACCCAGATGTCACGAAGATCTTCTCCAAGTGCTGCAACTGACCCAGAGCCATGCCGCGCAAGGAGTGGGGAACTACTCCTCAGGTGCAAAGCAGAATGTTATTTTCACTTCCACTGAATGCGGCTTGATCAATGTTCAATGAAGTCTCATCCGGTCAAAGAACTAATTCAACACATGGCTGAAACTATTTGGGTTGCTTGGCCTCTTGAGGCCACATCAATGAAGGAAGACATATGGGACTTCAATGAACTTCACTCCTTTTTTTGAGGAAACGCTCTAAACTCTAGACGATGGACAGAATGCAAACGGTCATCAGTCACAACACTGCCAGGCACATGTCAAGTTTCGCTGGGACTTGGCTGAACCGGGTCTTTGTTGAAATTCTCTGACGATCTCGGCAAAGCGTTCCTGTCAGGGCGATCTTTGGCTCTGATAATTTCAACACCCACCGTTTCAAAACAAGATGGGGAATTGTGTGACCATTCAGCCTTTCTCAAGAACATTGTCTTGACATCACAGTGGCCTTGCCTTGTTGATGCGCGACTGGTTAGCCATAAGCTGTTGAAGCTCTTCCTCAGATGGCCTCATGCCAAAGACTCTGGCCGCCTGCCTTGTGAGGAGTGCGGTACGAGGACGAGTACGATGTGGGGCTAATTCTTACTGCCACATCAGGCTATAGCGGACTGCTTGGGATTCCGGAATGGCATAGACTACCAGGCAGGCCGCGCCTTCTGCCGTGTTCTTGAGAATTGATGTCACCCGAATGAGGGGACGGCATTGCATCGAACTCGAGGGCCTGTGAAACCACCCGGCACCGTCCACGCATGCGGCCCAAGCGGCTTCAGCTCATGCGCGTCCAAGTCGCCGGAGCTGTCGAGGTCGCAGCGCATGGCCACGAAGTGCGGATCTCGGAGCTTTTCCTTCAACTCGGCGGAGACCTGTTTCCAGCGAAACGGGCTTCGGGCGACTTGTTCGAACGGATGACAGGCAAAAAGAGCAGCAAAAAGCAGGAACTTTCAGTGTCATTAATTAAAGGGGTTTCCAATGTTCATCCATTTTCCGGAGTTCACGCCGGTATCCGCTGCAAAGACGTCGTCCTGATTAGATGGAAGCTAGGCTTCCAACAGCATCCTTTTCTAGCTTGCCGTATGCCGCACCTGCAGCAATTCCGACTCCCAAGGCGTTCGCTCGGCGCAACAAAGCCAGGAAGAACTCGTCACTCCAAAGCCTTCATCCTCCACTGTCACCTCTACATCCATGGGGCAAACAAAGCAGATGTGAAGTGTTTGTTTTGGACCCTTCACAGAATCAAACCCTTCAAATCTGCTGACCAAAAAGCGTTAAACACTTGAAAAACTATTCCGCTGACCCTCACGCAGCCACATTGACATGACTTCTAGTTCATCTCTCTTGCATCCGCGCGACATGGGGAGCAGCAAGCTGCTCAGGTCGGAGGCCGCAGCTGTCCGACCGATGGCCGAGGTCGATGTCGCCTAAGATCTTGCACGGTCACAGCGCAGGAAGCGAACTTCGGTAACTGCAGTTCCGGATTTCGTGAACCAATCTGCCGACCCGTTTGCCCAGTTGGTTTGCAGTGCGCACATGCATATCGGAACGCAGCTAAATGAAGATCTTGCGGGGTAGGTAAGTTTGGCAATCCCGTTCAAGAGAAAGTCTGTTGCTGTTATGGGTTTAAACTGCCGAAAGTCTGCCATCGCCACAGAACCCATTGAACTCCGAAACACGAGAGACAATTCTACAAACTCAACCCCTGCCTTCCTCGCCCGCCAGGCAAGAACTGGCTGCAGCTGGATGCTTTGCACTTTCTCCACACACAGCACCTGAAGCTGCAGTCTTTGTTTCATTCTAATTGCTAAAGGTGCTCAAGAGATGTCGCGAGCTCATTTTCCTCAAAGCAACAATCTAGGCAACGGCTAGCTTCCCATGGCAACGACCTCGATCCCATCTGCCTGCATCATCTGCCTCCATCCCGGCGGCCTCCAAGCCCAACAGGCGTGGTAAATCAGGTTCCTGGAGCAAACGAAGCAAGTGGCATTCGGCTAAGAGCTGGAACCACCGTGAGTCCCAGATTTCCACATGAAGTGCCATGATTCGATTGCCTCCCTGAAGTCATTCCCTGCAAGCCAAAGCTGAACAGACCTAATTATATACCTGCTCAAAAGCAATGCCAAACCCATTTCAAGGTCAAAGTTATAACCAGCGACTGGGTATAGCTGAAGCGAGCAACCTGCACGGCAGGCCGCTGAACATGCTGTGGCTGCGATGCCTGCTGCTTGCTGCAAGCGCAACCCATGGCGGCGCCGTCAGCAGCACAAGTCGCGCGGAACGTTATACCTAAAAACTCCGCGCTTTTGGCGGAGTAGAAAAAACTGGATGCTGGAGCACAAAAAAGGGCGGAAAAGGGCCTGAGTCCACTCCACAAGTGATGCAAGTGTTTTGCAAATTGATTGAAAAGGCACAAAAACACATGGGAACACCATCTGCAATTATCACACATGGAAACGCACATGCATCTATTCCTGGAATCACTTGTTGCAAAGCGTCACAGCATGCGTCACAGCGCCGCGTGATCCGGCGCGGCCTCGTCATCCAAGTCATCCGGAGGCGCATCCACGGGACTGTTGGCCTCCGGGGAATCGGCGGTGACACCGGCAAATCCCCGTTCTGCCGGGGATGCCGCAAGGCCACATGAGAAATGCAAGGCCACTTGCTGCTCCCCAGAGAAATCTTCACCAGGTTGGTGGATTCACCCAGATGGAGGAAATACTTGTAAATTTCACCCGATCCGCAAAAGCAGGAATGCCGCCCTACCACCCAGGATCACTTTGAGGATCGATGTTGAAAGCTCTTTGAGGACAATATCAAACCCCATATGAAGATCTGAAGCTTGTTACCACCATAACTACTCTGGTGCTTCACAACAGCCCAGCTTTTTTTCCAACAGTTCCGGCAACTCCACCATCAAACCCAAAACAGATTGCCCAGCAAAAAACGATGCGGAAAGAACCATACAGATCGTACAATACAAAGAGTTCCGTCACAGTTCCGGCAGTTCCATCTTCCAACCTCCTCAAATACCATCAAATACCTCCCCAGCCCCATCCCCCAGCCACACACTCCAGGTATGGAAGATCTGCCGCCCCATTGACCCCAACTCTGGCACCACCACCCCAATGTATGCAGATCTATGCCAGTCCCATCTGTGTCGTGTTTGAGATCGCCCTACACCCTTTGGCCCCCTTTCGCCGTCCGCTCCAGCGGGCCTCGCGGACTTCCCCGCGTGACCCGCTCCGTGGCCGCGGGCCGCGGCGCCGGGCCCAGCGGGTGAGCAGCGGAAGGAGCGTCCAGTGCGGGAGGAGCGGGGAGTGCACCACCTGGCAGGGTCGGGCAGAGTGGTTTCATTGGATCGGGTGAGTGATCATAGCAAAGTGGTTCAGAGTCTGTTGATGGAGTGCTTTATTATCACAAGGGAGATGCATTACGGGAGATATAGTGGTTTGCTGCAGAATTCAGGCGGAGAGAAGAAGACATCACCTTCAGAAAGGGCCATAGTGACCATAGTGTAATTGGATCAGTGACCGTGGATGAAAACAACAAAATCATCAAACTCTGCTGCACGCCGTGAACGAATTATGGAATGACCGTGGATGTGATCCCTGAAAGACCTGGACAAACCACCTGTGGAGTGAATCCGAAGACCAAGCTGCAGGTGATAAACAACTCACTCCACGTCAATGCGAGCATTTCACTGTCATCTAGCAGTGTGTGGTTAGCTTCCCCCACACTCACTCTGCTCATTGGCTCTTTCTGCCCCTAGCGGGGGAAATGGATCATGACTGAAGTTGAGAGTTCGGCTTCTAGCGTTCCTTTGCGCATCCATGGATGTTCCTTCTTCAGGTTCCCTGATACGTTTTCCGGGTTATACTGTTATGTATATACGTATATGTTAAGTCTTTAAATGGGTTTCTTGGAATGAACCGCGCGCAACAAATGGTATGACTCCTAACCTTGGAAGCTTTTGGAGGTATATCCAATGGTCTTACACAAATACAAACACCAATACCCTGGAAGTCCAAAGACTATACTTTTCCATAGTGAAGTGAAGGACAAGTTCCTTTCAGGCACCCTAGTCAGACCATTCTTTTGTTAGTCTTTGACTCCCAGGGAATTCTAATTAAATTCTTATTGTTTCTAGTAAGACACTTGTTTCTAATAGCAAACATTGTTACTAGTAAGGCACCTGTTACTACTAGCGTGGCACTTCTTCCGTTCGTAGCGGAAGCTCTCCTACCGTTCTGGAGCCGTCCGTAGAACGTCGACGGAGCAACAGCGGACACCACTAGCAACTGGGATCCAACGGGGATCCAAGATGGATCAATCAGCAACTCATCAGATTCCCAAGCAGAAATGGACGAGACAAAATACTGACAGCAGCAGTTTCATGGTTCCGGAGTAGAATTTGGACCAGGTTTTGTGGCACCAAGTTGGGACCTCACTGCGAGTACAACAATCGAAAGGTATTAAGTCCCAAAGCGCCCGACACAGCTGGTTCTTACAGGCTAGAATTCCAGCCCGAATCAGATATTCTTGAACAGGAAGAACTTTGAGCCTGAATGAGGGTCCAGGAGCCTGAATGCATCCCAAAGTCACCACAAAGTCAGGGGACCGTGTCCTCTCGGTACTGGAAGCCCCCTTGTAGCGACAAGTCAAGGCATGTAGCGACAAGGCATTCGGTGTTCTGTTCCCCCCAAGGCATCGGTAGGCATGGAGCGCCTTCGGCCAACACCGATCCCATCGGAGCATCCCATTAAACACCAAAGAACATGGCCACCCGCCAAGTCTTCCCATGCGCCTTCACCCGGCTCGGACCGCGCACGGATGCTGGCGCGAAAGGCCCGGGACGGGCGGTGCGCGGTGAAAACGCACGTGCTGCGGCGGGTGGCGGGTGGCGGGTGGCGAACATGGCCCATGGCAGCCCATGAAGGGTGTTTGACTCTGCCTTTTGCGGCTGCAGGTCCTCTAGTGATTCCATATATTAGAGTCAAGTCAACAATCTGACAGGGCGTCGATCAGTTTTTAGCTTTTACTTGATCAGAAACATCTTGCATCAATTTGAGGGCAACTCTTACTTCTACCTCCCGGGTGAATGCAGGAAAAACTGCAGTATGATCTCAAGACCCACTGTAAAAACTCATGAAGAAAAAATTCAATAGTTTTACAACCCCCAGTGTGGCTGATGTCATCACTTGGAAGGAAACCCAAAAGAGGGGGAAGACAAAAGCAAGTTGTATATGTTAATTCTTGATGGACTTTTCTTGCTCCAATGGCCCAAGAACATTTGCTCCGGTCCAACATCTTTTCGACCTAATGAGGCGAGCCTTGTTCTTGCAAACTGCAGTGGCATCATCCAGGGCTTCAGCTGAAAACCGATTGTCATGAATCTCAAGAATTACTGTGAACGTAATGAATAAGAACCTCAACAACTCCAACACACCAACAAGTCCGCCAAATTGTTGTCTTGCAAGGCAACAGTCATAGCTTTTTCCTCGTTTCCTGATTGCCAAGCATTGGGGCGTCAAAACCAATTGTGCCTTCACCTTCTCCCTCACTTTACACTTTGTGAGGGTGTTGGTTCTTTCAGCCTTCTTGTCTCCACGAGTTCTCGGGGGTTCGATCCCTATCCTGTGGCGGAAAGACCCTCTCAACGACGTGGTTTCATGCAACGGGCTCCAAGCAATGTGAACTGCAATCACATGTCATTACTCAGTGAAAGTGTCACCTTGAGGATTGGTCGACCCTCCGTAGGAATGTGGGGTGATCAACTCCAACATGTAGGGCCCTGTCGTGTGGCATGAATGGAGAAGTCCGAGTTTGAACGGTTCTGTTTACTCCATGTATTCCTCCATGATCCACTGTGCGAAGCCTATAGAGGGGTGAATGATTCAGGTTAATCTCACTGTTCCTGAAGCTCTTTACAGCTCCACAATGAAGTACACCCTGAGAACTCATGGAAAGAACGCAGTGGCACGAGAAGAATCAAAGACGTCCTGCAACCTCCATGAACAAAAGAACAACATCAAGTGCAGTAATTAGGGAACTTGGGGGATAAACCGCATGATATCAATCCACCATGAACACACGGCGGAACGGCGGGCTTCGGCGGTCTGCCACACGAACGGCTTCAGCGGTGGAGCTGTCCCCGTCCATCCGGGTCACTCGGGTGTCGGATCGCTGGGGAAACCCGGCAAGCCGTAGATCAGGACGTAGGTGAGGTAGGACATCGCTGGGATGTACAAATCGGGCCTCAGAGCGACATGACTGAACGATGTTTCAGTAACCATAGCATCGCTATACGTTCGGGGCGACCCTGGCATCGCGACTCGAACGGAGCGATCGGACGCTATGAACGGGGCTCCTGGCCTTACTACTAGGAACAAGATCTATTATAGAAACAAAACATCAATAGAAAACGTTCGTTGACCACATCGCCGGGAGGTTTTCAGAGTTTACGACATCGCTGAGATGCTTCAGTCAAAGAATATGTTCATGAACCGCTTTGCTAAGATGCTCCAGGGAAAGAACATCAAACGAGCACCCGAAAATTCGAGGGTCTAATGCTTTATGCAACCAAATTGGGGTTACCTCACAAAGGTTCTGCCAAACATGTTTGGTCAGTGCCCTCATGTTCAACACACATCAATGTTGAACATCGCATAGATGTGGCTACTGGTCCTCAGTGGGGGGCCCTGAAGATAGATCCTGCAGAAACCTTCTGTCGGTTCTTGAAAAAACGACAGAAATGTTGTAGAAGTTAATAGATGTTTTATGTGTTGTTTTTTAAAATTGGGCTTGCATACTAAAGTGTTCCTCAACAAACCTTATGCTGCCCTCAATGTAGAAAACATCAGCAGCAATAAAGACCACGGTCCCCACCATATTCGCAAACGATTTTCGTTGGACATGGTTTACAACCTGCTATGATAATGATGCCCAGGTTCAACCACGATCCGTTCAAGTCCTGCACCTTTCTCCACTGGGATGCCACGCTGATCAATATCCACCTGGCCGTGTTCCGAGGAACAATCTCAGCAAACTCAGTGAAGGCTCGGAGCAAGGAAGGCAAGGCATCCTCCTATTGTTGTTGTTTCTGCTGTTTTGTTTTCTTCTTCTTCAAGTCCTATGGTCAAGCTGCAAAAATTCCTCATCACTCAATCAAACATCCTTTTACAGTCGCAGACCCTAACACTCCGTCACTTTCCTATTCCTCCGTCGCTTCGACCGCCCCGCTGTGCACCTTCAGCCCATCCGGGCCGACGCCCGGGTGGGAGGCGTCGTTGATGTCGCCGGGGGACTTATCCTCGGTGGAACGGTAGGTGGAAACAGTGCAACACACTGCGGTGGTTTCGGTGGTGTATTTCTTGAACTTATTGAATCGTATTGAATTTATTGAAGGCGACTAAATAAAATGAATACGTTGTGATTGTATGTGATTGTGAAACTGAGTAGTGTGTTTGGGTCTGACTTTTGTGGTGGATGGTCGTGTGGATGGATTAGTTTGGCAAACAAACCAACCAAAAGAACAACAACACAAAACAACACAACAAACCAAAAAAATATAAAACAAACCAACAAACATACAAAACATAACAAAACGAGATAAACCAAACAAACCAAACCAAACCGGACCAAACCAAAGTAAAACAAACCGGACCAAACCAAAGTAAAACAAACAAACAAAACAAACAAACAAAACACACCAACCAAACAAACAAACAAACAAGTAAACAACACAAACAACAAACACCACGGAAGCGCAAGACAAAACCAGTTTGGAAGTCATCCATGAGTCCGGAGCAGCAGTCGTTCCTAAGTGGATGACCCCTTCAACAGGGTGCACTTTCATATATATATATATATACTGAAAGATTCCTCTCTGATATGAAGAATTTGCGCAGCAAGTTTCAAGATCGAAGTCCCGTACAGGAAGCCCCAGTCAGAAGATGGGTGGAAGGACGTACATGTTCCGGCATCATGTGCTTCTGCAGATCTTCGCAAGTTGGAGATCAAAGCATCACACCCTGAAGTGGAAATTTGTCTCTACGTCAAATCAAATGAATAAATTGAATAATCAACATCCAAGGTTAGAACAAATCAGTATATATATATATATATGTTAAACTCTGCGTGTAGCTGCTGAAGGAACAAGCTGCGCACCTTTTTGCTCAGCCCCTGCAAGAGGACGGAGTCAGCTCTGCCATCAAAAGGAGGTCGAGGGCGTCCGAAGGCCACCAAGTCGAAGGGTAACCAAGCCGGCCCGACCGACTGCAGCGAAACACTGTCCAACTGTGACAGGGCGCACGGGTGAAGAGCAACGTGAAGCCGGCAGCTCCACAAGACCTAAGGCGTTGTTGCAAACTCCCGTCACATCGAGGTGCACAGGCATCTCTGTCAAGGCACTCAGTGCAGCTACTTCTTGAAGATAGCTTTCCAGCGTTTGTTGATTCTTGAGGCGCATACGCCACTGAATCTCGCTTATGGGCAAACCTCGCCTATAGCTTTCCACTGCGCCTCCTCCTCGAAGGCCACCTGGAGTCAGTCCGCATGATGGAGGTACAGCAAGCAGGCTGCAAAGGTGGTTCCAACGAGTTCTGAAGGAAGATGGCGATCCAGCAAATAAAAACGTGTCCTTCTCAAAACTGCCAAAAATGCGCTCAAGCAACCAAACAATGTATGAATCAACTATCTTAAGGTGCTGCACTCTAGGTCCTTGACGTCGGCTGGTTTTTGATTGCTCCAACACGAGGAAAGCAACATTGCTCTGCGTGTCAAGGAGGTCAGGAGGCAGAACTAAATGCCGACGCTGGCATTGTAGGATCTCACCGACCCTAGCGATTCCAGCAAAAGCAATCATAACAACACCAGCCCACCTCCTCCACTTCAGTTGCATTGCCAAACTAACCAATGCTCGCATGAACGGAAGGGGAACGGGAATCCGGTGTTTTGTCGGCTCGGCCAATTCCCATCGACCAGCTAAATCCCAGCAGATGTGTGCATATTGTTTCAGATGAGGAACTTTTTGCTGCGCTGCAAGAACCAAGTGCCTGTAGTACAATAATGCTCCTCCACTTCTGAACAAAACATCACCAAACCGCCGGATAGCATGAGCCAGGAAAAGTGGGACTTCCATAAAAAGCAGAAGAGGTTCCTTTGCCTTCACGGTCTCACTGGCCCAATCATAGAAAGCTCTCCAACACTTCTCACCTAGGGCAATTGAAGCGAAGAGCTGCTGCGGCATCATCTCGAGGGAGGTGTTACGCTGGGGGCGAGGTCGTCTCGGCCCTGGCTTCTTGGCTTCACCAACACGAAGAGTTCCTGACCTGCAGCAGCCAGCTATGTTCAACTTTGCAGACCATCCTATATCACTTGCCAGTGCCCCAGCTATCAAACAACAGAACCCTCGTGGGTAAGGCTGTGCGACCAAGGTCCAGGGCTTGTGCAGCACTGGATGTTGCCCTCGAAGAGGGATGTGTGTTTTTCCCTTTTGCTGACATGTGCAAAGCATGCGGATGCCCTGTAGAGCTCGACAGGTCGTGGCAACCCTGGTCCGTTTTCTCCACGGGGTGCCGAACCTGCAATAGTCAACTCGAAGTACTTCAGGACTATCAGGAGGCCCAAAACGTTTGCTAAAACCTTTCTGCTGCCAAAGAAAGGAGCCATCGGGGTTTTCCAGCCAAACAGAACGTTGTGTCGCTCACAAGCGGCCAGAACAATGAGTGCAAAATCATAATGTGCATTCCCTTCGGCAACAGCTGCTTTCATGCCACGAGCCATCCAAGGAAGACCTCGAGGATATCGTTTGCTCCGCACTGGAGGGGTGATAGCACGGGAAAAACTCCTGCAAATAAGGGCTGAGCCACAGACCTTTACCGCTTCAAGCTCAATCAGCTTCAGAACTTGTCTCCGGTTTTCTTCATCTAGCAGATCTTCGGAGACAGAGTGCAACCATTCATAGGTCACAACGAAAGGGCAGCCCAACTTGAGCTGTCTAGCAACTCCTCCTTCACCTGTAAACAAGTCAAGGGCACCAGGCTTTGTGAAATCACCTTCACAACCCTTTCGCCACCAGATTTGCCTCTTTTTGTCAAGCTGTTGTAAAATTGCTACTGCTTCAACAGGAACTCCCTCACCTTGAACTTCTGGGGGAGACTTGGGGACGTGAGCTCTGGGTCGAGTGAAGCCAGCTCCAGCTTCTTGCAACTCAACTTTGTGGAAATGCTCAGCTGAACGTTTTTGCTTGCCAGTCATCAGCTTCAGACCGGCTTTCCATCCCAGCTCTGCAAAGTCATGAGTCTCCCTGACGTTGGCATGCTGCTTTCCGAGGCGGTGTAGCCAAGCATCAAAAGGGGCATGGTCACCTTCAGCTAAAGGCCCCCACCATTCGGGGAGCTGCCGGTCGGGAGGGCCAACTTCGCAAGCACGAGTAGGGTCATCAGCTCGGTTCAGAGCTGAAGGAAAAAAACCATAGCTGCCATATGCGTCGGCTCCCAGTATGGTTGGTAAGCTTCTCGTCAGCAGCCGGTTAATGGCTTTGGAGGACGATCGACCTTTCACTAGGCATCCCAGAGCGACCTGGCTGTCCAACGCATAGAGGCTGCGAAAACTCTGATTCTGCTGGCATAGGTTCTTCTCCTCAATCAAATGAGCATTGAGTTCGCCAAGATTGATGTGAACCTTGCGACCATGCGGTCGCCTCCAATTTTCCGAGTACTGCAAAGAGCGGGCTGATATCTCCCAGAAAGGGTGGACATCATATGGTTCACTTCCCGGAAGCTCCTCTTCGACCTCAAGCATACCTTTTTCTTTGAGCCAGGCCTTGCCTGGAGGCAACAACTTTGTCCACAGACTTTTTGACAGACTGTGCCTCATCGCCTCTTTCACCACAGGCAAAGGAAGTGAGGCGGAAACAGCTGCCATACCCCAATCTGAGGCGTCTGTGGCTGTGATTCGCTCCAAGCTCTGAGCCCGTATGTTGACATAGGAAAGCGTACCGAGGACTGATAGGACGTAGAGCTCCTCGGCGAGAGTGGCACTAAGCCGGATGACGTTATTTGCACTCAGACCAGCTGATAAGGCGTCGAAGATCTCATTCATAGCAGCTAGGCACCGTCGTCGAAAGAGGAAAATTGAAATCCACGATCCAGCCAAACTTTCAAGCAGTCCTATGCTGACGACGCCCAAGCAACAGACCCTCATAGTCACCAAGATCAGAGGCCACATCCTCAAGGAGCTTGCCCTGATGAGGCCCTTCTTTCCATCAACTTCTGCTCCCCAAAACCGAGCGCAGGAGGCATGCATGAACTCTTTGGAGGCGTTGACCGGCAATCCGGCTTCAGCATATCCCGCCAATGCTTTAGGCATCCGTTGAGCTGAAATTGTGCCCTGCTCCGGTGTACCCCTTATCACTTATCACAGGCTCCAAAAGCACAAGGTCATCAATCACCAGACCCAACATGTAAGGTCCCCGTGGTATGGGTGCACGAAGACGTAGAAGCTCATTTGGCTGTAGAGCTCCATATTGCAGCATCAGGCTGATGTGGGAGCATTGAGCAAATTCCACAGCACATAGATCACCCATAGCCATGGTGTTCAGCCCTACAAAACCACCTTGAGGAGGTATGTCAGTCATCTCCGGGAAAATGGTAGCGATCTCAGACCTTGTAAGTCGACCAGCTAGAACATTGCGGGCAGCTCGACTGCGACCAACAACAAACTGGTAGAAAAAATCTTTAATGTCCTGCCCGGACATCAACAGATCCTCCTCCGGGTGCAACTCAATGTTGTTCAACAGCGACGCTCCTGCAAGGCATCCACACCAGTGATTGAGGCCTTCTTCGCGGCCGTTTGGGGGGCGACTATCCATGATCAGCCGGTCACGAGAAAAATCTTTGACCACTCCAAAAAGACCAGAAGCGTATTTCTCTTCAATTTCTTGCGGTGACAGATAAACAAGGCGACCACATGCAGCCATCTTTGTGAAGAGCCTCAGGCGCTCGCTGCGCGTAGCCCGCACCGCAACACGCGGAGGTTCCAAAGGGTCACTCCGATGAAACAGACTGGGTTCGTTGTACATGGCTGCGGTTTTTGAGTCCATATAGGGGACTGGATCGAAGGCAGGAGGAGCTCCAAAAACAATACGATCTGCCACCAAGGACTTTGCAGTCACATAGCTGCTGCCCCCAGAATCTCCTATCACTTCCCACTTCAGGCTTTCAGGCTCCGGGCGGTCGGCTGATGAAGGAGATGCCTCTCTCTTTCGTGAGCCCACATAGTCACCACCAAACTGTTGAAGTTGAGTAA